GGGTCGTGGAGGAGCTGTGGGAGGCGGCGCTCCCGCCGTCCGGAGTCGGGGAGCGGGCACTGCCTGCGCGGTGACAGCCGTCGGCGCGCCTAGCTGTTGGCAGGGCCTTGGGGAAAGTGGCCTCGCCTCTGTCGGCTGGGAACTGGTAGTCGATGCGCACCTTCAGGATGGGGTCTGGGAGCTCTGCATCGGAGCTCAGAAATGTGAGGGGAGATGTGATTCGTAAGCATGTTCTTGAAATACGTATATACACGCATGGCATTCAGAGTACGTGGAAGCATTTTTGTCGAGCCTTTCTGGTAGTCTACACTTCGCCCTCCTAAAAACCTATTACGTGAAGGCTGAAGACCTTTATGTATGGTTCCAGTTCTCATTGCCATTAATACTTTTGTGCTTTGCAAACCAGTGAATAAGCCAACATTACATACTCGGTGGGTGAGGCAAGTATTCATTTCACCGATAAGAAACCACCAACTTGGAAAGTGTGCTGCCTTGGCACTCTGGTCTGTGACACAACAGATGTCCCTTGTGCCTTGGCATTCAGGGTGCCCTGAGCAGACAGGGCGGTTTTATAACTAGTGCTGAAACAGCATAGTCCAGTGCTACTAGCTGGACCACATGGATGTTCAGTTTTTTCCTAATACTGTGCTAAGCAGTCTGGCTAAATTCACTGAAAAGACTCGGGCAGTGAAAAATGTCTTCAGGCATTTAAGTCCTGCTCCCTTCAGGACTAACAGCATGTCTTGAAGGTGTTTTACATCTGCAGACACCTAGTTTTCCAGTAATAAGCCAGTAGCATGTTGACCCTGACTATGCACTGTTGGATCTGAAGAGGTGGAATCAGTAGGCGTGCTCAAGACACATTTTTCCTGAAAAGTCAAGCAGAGATGAGGCTTGTTTGGCTGTTCATATTATCTCTGGTCCACAGATCAAGTAGGCAGAGGCACTGTAAGAAGTTTGTGATTGACCTCTGTTAACCGATGGTAGCTTTGTAACTAAAAGCGTAAGTTACCGGCAAGTTTGACCCTCCACCTGTGCTGTAGTGAGAGATTTTTGATCAGAGATTTTTCATTTCACTCCTTGCTGTTTGGATATGTCTGCGATTAGGTGCATTCATCTGAGCAATTGTGTGTTTGTGTTCAAATCTGGGTTCATCCCCAGTTTGAAGCAGGGAGTTGGGTACAGGTCCTGAATACGGGTCTCAGAACTCCGTGCAGGTAACTCTGCAGTCAGTCCATGCTGGTCACATCAAGGCAGTAGGTACTGTATAGTAAACAAACAAGCAAATACACCCACAAATTAGTTTTGTTGTGCTTCCTACAACATATTTACATGGCCAGAGAGAAAAGGAGAGCATTAATTGAGTGGTGAGAACGCTCACCTGGAGTGTGAGGGAGGTAGGGTCAGGGTCCTGAGTGCACCAGCAGCCCTGAATTGCCCTGTCTCACCTGGGACCCCCACCCGCAACCCCTCTGCATGTTGGTCCTGGAGCTCAGCCCACAGGACCTTGATCCTTGCCTGATCTATATTGGAGGTAG